GTGTATTTAACAATATAAAGAGAACACTTAAATAAATTACAGTTCCTATAAAAATATTATTAGGGATCAGAGCATAGATTAAAGATCATATGTTCTAGGAGGAAGTAGTTCAAGAAAATAGTGGGACAGATAATCTGTCCGTGTCAATAAAGTAGGGTTTTCAGTAGGGAAGGATTTTGTTGGAGAGCTAAGTCACTCATGTTTAAAAATATGCTGTCTTCCCCAGTTGTTAGTGAGATACCAGTTCTTTATTCCTCCAGGACTGGTTCCTCAAATCCAAGAAGCCACAGCATTCATGCATGTACATAAAGCACAAAAACCTATGCCATTCAGAAACCAACCTATTGCATGGCTCAAACCACTTAGATAGCCGGATGATTTTCCATGGAGAAAATTTTTGAAATCACTCTTGTTGATTTAAAAAAACTTACCTCAGGAGAGCCACAGTCACATTCTTCTCCCATCTCCACAAAGTAATTCCCACAAACTGCAGGTGCATCAACAACTGTTTTCAAGGGTTTGTCGAGAATGCATTCTGGGAGATTTGAAGTTAGAAACGTCTTGTATTGCTCAACACTACAAGAGCTGAAGTCATAGAGAGGGACATCACTGCAGAGATGAAACAAAATAAGATTAGATCATCATCCATATTTGAACTAGGCACAGAATTCATTGCAAAAACATATAAGATGGAAAAGGGATGGTTAATGAAGAATTTTTTTTCTCTAAAGCTAACAAAGTGATTTGTTAGTGATTCTTTTCTCTAAAGCTAACAAAATGGCTAAGAGAAATATTTGTTCCCTTGATCTTACTCCCAGATTATGCTCTCTCAGTTTTTTCCCCACCAATATTCTTTCCTTTTTTAACCAAATAAATTTTCAGTGAGAGCTTCATGGGATATTAGTTGAATGAGCTTATTCTTGTGTTTCAATGGGCTGCCTTTCATTTTCATTTTTAGACAGCCTCTCTGTGGAAGGACAATAATATAATTGAAGGGAAAACAGTGGAAAATTGTTTTTCTTTTCTTCTTTTGGAGACAGAGTACTTTTTATAGCAATGAATACTTTGAGGAAATTGAAGAGCTAAGTATACTAACTCTCTGTTTGCCTTAAACCATTCATTGATTATTTCTTTTGTTGAAAAGGTCATAATATCATTGGTGTCACACTGACCTCTGAAGCTGCATACTTAAATAGAGGCAAACATGTTATCATAAGCCCACCCAAACATATTCCTAATGTTAATACAAATCAATAGGAATATAATCATCTGCCCTCAGGTTAGGTGCTGAAAACAAGAAGACAAAGACAATCTGCAGGTGGTCATAAAATAGACAAGATCTTACAACTCTTACACAAAGGTTATGGGGAGTTTTGCAATGGACAATTGCTGAGAAGATTTCATCAATTTGTTTTGCTTCATTTTTCCTTTTCTTTTTCTCTCTTGATGAAGCAAAGGCTAAATATCCACCTGGAACAAAATATTGCTACTCCTTGACTTGCCACAGAATTTCCATCGCCAAGCAAGCCAGTTGTTAAGTGAGTCATGCTGAGTTTTATAACCAGTTTTGCCACTTTGTTAAGTGAATCACACAGTCATTAAGGGGCTCCACTTGCTCCATTGGCTTTACATATGGAAGGACAGATGGGAAAGTGACAAATGACAATTACATGAATGCAGGATGCTAGAACCACCATAAATTCATCCTGGTGCCTCAAACTGCCCAAATTTTAATTCTGTGACTGAAGGGAGGCTGTAAGGGCTGTAACTGTGAGGACCAGTGATAAATCACTGTTTTCAGTGCCATTGCTACTTCGAATGGTTGCTAAACAAATGGTTGTATGTCAATCACTCTCTGTATGTTGTTCCCATTAGTTTCAGAAGAATGCAATGTATGGCAGAGATATAACATACCTTTTATGTTACAAGGGGTGATGGAAAACAATAATCCTCCCCCCCCCCCCATTCTAAGTTATATATTTTG